TGTCCTCTCTTAAATAAGTCATACTATCTAGTCCAGTGAAATAACTGGCAGGGCTGACCTGGCACAGGCTGAGTCACGCACCTGCCCCCTTCCCTCCCTCCACTCAACCTGGTCACTTACACAATAACACTGGACTAGTTTTATAATTATCTCAAGCACGGTATAACAAATTACTACCGTACAACAAATCTACTTGTCTAAATATTAAGTAAAATGTCTGCTTTGATTTACTCAGATAAAATAGTACGTCCTTGGGGGGGGGGGGTGTTAGTTCAACAATCAATGATCTGGTTTGAGCTCTGGGACTGAAGGAACTGACCTTAGAAAGGAAGGAATGGCTAGTCTTATGAGTCATCGACGCTAGGTTTGGGTGGGGCGGCGTCCCATTGTCGCCCTCATTGTTGAGGTCAGACAACAATTGATGACCAAACAAAAAACCATCTTCATGCAATATGGCACACGGAGCTTGAGTAAGAAGCGCCATGTATTCTAATCACCGTTGAGATGATTTAACAATTACTGACCAAACATAATTCTAGTTTCCTTCAATAGCTGGCATGCAAGATGAATTATAACCATAATTTCAAGGCCTTTTGTTCGTTGCATTTAAGCATTCAAATGTCCCAAAGGGACCCTTGATCTTAGTCCTCCCTCCGTGTTATGAACGCATACATGTACGATCTAATCAGTCTTTTTCTAGAGTTCCTGTTGACCTTTCTTTAGAGCAAACCATTAATGCCGATGTCAAAAACAAACTTATAGGTCTCTCATGATTCTCTACAAATGACAGTGCCACAAAAAATGGCTACAGACTCGAGGAGACCGACTCAAGATTCTGTCTCATTTCTTAGAGACAACAGGTTTAAGGGAAACACTTGGTGCAAGAACTGACACAAGGCACAAAGCATCAAGAAGACAGTGAGGACATTGCTCAGTTGAAAACTTGCATTAAGGATTAAATGATTCTTTTCACTGATGGTGGAGGCAAACTAAGAAAGATAAAAACTGTCTTAGAAACATCTGAAGAATTAGAGAACTAGATTTTCAGCATCCGAATTAATGGATCAGAAGCAAGAAACTGCTTTATCTTAGAATGTGTAGGTGATCCTAACCGATTTAAAGCACCATTTAATAAAATAAAAATCTGTAATTTTGCATCAAATGCCATTGAGAAATGCTCACCAAAGACTGCATCGCAAGTAACTGCACTTAAAGGAAGACTGGATTTATTTGGACGCTTGCTCTATCTTAGTGTTGAAAATAAGTTAGATCTGAAGAGAGTATTCTCTTTTGCACTCACGCCTTGCCCTCTATTAATCTGTCATTTGGATGGTTCTCTACTAAAATTGACAAGTCCAAGTTATTGAGATTGCTTGAGTCTACTATCACCTCCAACAGCCCGCAATATGTAGACGTCATTGTAATTTATGGTAGCCTGCTTCTTCACACACTACCACCAAATCTTCCCTCTGCATAGCGTGGTATATTAAGAAGTATTTTCATGAGAAACCGGATTGAACTGCTCTTTGACTCTTATAAAATTCCCAAATTTGAAGAAATTTCAAAGAAAAGAAAGAGGCGATTTTACCGGAACAACTTTAACTTTTGGCGCACTATGTTGATATACCGCAACATCACACTTTGTATGTTAATTTTGAGGACAAATGTTATAAATTCAGTGGCAGCAACAACACAGTGACTCGAGAAGAAGTTCAAGAGCTACATGCACCAAACCACGACAAAGCAGACACTAAGGTTGCACTTCACTACATAAATCAGAATCTTCCAGGAAGTAACGTCGTGGTTCGTGCTTCTGATACTGATATTCTAGTTATCTTGCTGTACCATGCTGTTATCACAGTATCTGAGTGCTACATATGGGGGGATGCATTTAGTGCAGCTAATAACAGTAGGCGCTACGTAGATGTATCGGCTCTTGGAGTGTGCAGACCTTAAGGACAAGATCAAGGGCATCCTTGGCTTTCACACATTAACAGGTTGCGTCTACACCTCTGCTTGTTCTTAAAAATGTAAAGTCCGACCCTTCCAACTGATAAACAAAAACCCACGATTTCTGAACGCATTTGCTGAACTTGGTGAATCATCTATTATTTTTCAAGAGGCTTTTTCAGTCATTTAGAAATATATAGTAACAATGTATGGATGCAAAGGGCAAAATATCAACTGAGCAAGATATTCTTTATTTCGTCCAAAATATAAGCCAAAACCTAGTTAATCTCCTCTCCAAATAATTAAAGGAGAAGACGCTTCAACTTTACCCCCTTGCCAAAGAGTACGTACGCAGAAGATCAAAACGGCCAACGTAGTCACCCAACTTTGGAAGAAAGCCAGTCTTAGGGACCCAGTTGTTAATCACAATTCAACAAATCATGGATGGATACTTGAAAACGGAGAGTACTGTCCACTGTGGTATTATGATGATCAAGTAGCATCTCAACTGGAACTTGTGCCATCTCAATCATACTCGTACAGTATACTGACTTGGAATCTGATACTGAAATTGAGTCTTCAGATGCCGATGATGATGATGTTGATGCCTATGAACTATGAGTAACATAATGCCAAAAAATATATCATCATTGTGGCAATCTATCCCCTTATCCATAACTTCGACAGGATTACTTCTGTCGTATTTCAACTTGCGCTGTGAATGATATAGTTTTCTTAAATTACATAACCTAAATGAAAGCTTTTGCTGTAGAATATATTATTTTTACCGTCAACTCTTGTATTTCAAGTTACGCTGTGATTGATATAGCTTTCTTAAATTACATATAACCTGCAATTTACGTTTAGGATGGTTGTAGTGGAATTTAAGTAATGAATGCAATTTTGTACACTGTGTGAAATGCACGAAGAGTTTATTTGATTTCAGGTAAACCTTTGTTTACACTGTTAATGACATGCTTAAGTTATTCAAGAAAATAACATGTAATTAAAGAAGAGAAAAGTAAAAATCTGACTTATGTTTCATAACTTCGCACATTATAATGTGTAAAATGAATGACAACGTTCGTTAGCGAATATATTATTTTTACTGTCAACTGAGTTACTATTATTATTTCCTCATTCGTTAGCTATAATTATAAAGACTAAATTAAAAACTATGTACACTGATAATATGAAAGCTAAAGTAATGAAGGATAATAAAGCTCTAAAATGAGGAGTTGTTAAATAACATCACTGGTACGAAGCTGGTTGGTAACTATATACAGTAGTTGTCTGACCTCAAGATTGCTGTATTCTGTATTTAATTGTCTTAAAATCTTAAACACACCATCACGGAATTCTTAAAAGGGTTTTAATAAATCCAAATGAATACCAGCTACTGACTGAAACTAGAATTAAGGTCATAAATTGTTAAACCTCCTAAACAGTGATGTTCGTATTGAACGCTCTTAAAATTAAAATACAATGTAGAATGCAGAATTGTATTGGTTATAATTAACGTAATTGTAGCTGAATATAATTTTTTCATACCACGAATTTTAGTTTAGTGACCTGGACAGATTCAGAAACGAATCTGGCGAACTTTGTTTTTTCGCGAGTGACATCACTGACAACAACCCGCCGTCCAGTAAGGGTGGGGGCTGATATATACCATCCATCTTGACTGTATCAAGAATTTTCGACGAGACTGTACATACACAGTACAGGCATTACAATTTTAATACTTGTTTCTCGGTTTTGTAAACACAACTGATCTAATAATACGTGTTGAAATGAACGATACAATTTAGAATATGATATTGCATCATAGTATGTTAGGGTGATAGTTGGCGAAGTTAATGCGATAAACAAGAAAACCACGTCCACTTACCCCGGTGGTCAGGTAGAAAGTGTCACTCACCTCTGCCAGTAGGGGTTTTCTCAAGGCTTATCATAACTGACGCTCTACTTTCCCATATCGTACTTATTCATACCATTTATTCACTCACGTTCATTTTGGACGAAGATGCCATGTCTACAGTATATACCCAGATGTACTGTGTTTCAAGGTATGAAGTTGCACTTGCTACTAAATCTGGTAATGTAACCTTATACCACAACTTGATATATTCAATGTTTTTCCAGTCATCTCTCGATGATGAACACACTTGGGGATCCGGCCACGACACTCACTGAGCTGTTGTACTTCATTCCAGGTTTTACTTTGTCACGTATTAGAAGTTAGATTAAGGTACACCCTTCCACACATCCACTTGTTACAGTCAACATTGCTAATCCTAGTCTACGAGAGTTGTGAACCACGAGAATATGGACCCGCATTCGAAGCAATCACTCCTCCAGGCATACTCTGAACGATGGCCGTACTGGTCGGACGTGTCAGCCTTGTACTCTGCGACAACACTGCTGATTTTCACCGGCTGCCTAAACTTTGCACCATGCCTGGGGCAAGTGGTGGGCAGAAACTTGTGAAGGCTTTGGCTAGAGAAGAAAAGATTGCACTACTGAACAGCTTAGAAGACAACCTTCGGCTTTCAAGTACCGAATCGGAAGCAGATGATCCGTGACCAACAACAATGGAGGTGACAGACAGTTTTCAAGAGGTGAATAGTAAGAAAGAAGAGAAGAGGAGGCGAGAGTTAGCGAATGATAGGAAGAAGAGGACTGCACACACAGAAGAAAGCAAAAAGAATTCAACTGAGAATAAAACACAGCAGGTTAGTCGAATGAATCATCTTGAAAGTACCAATGTGCCGAACACCCCGGGTGGTGGAAACAGCTCAGGTAGGAGGAGGTTGAACTTTGCAAGTGAATTACGCATGCCATTTTATGAGCTGTTGAGTTGGGCTGCTGCGCTGGAAAGAGAGCATAAAAAGTATGAACCCCGGCTTAAGGAAGGTCATAATAACTCCTATCTGACTGTAGCTGGGGATGAGGAGGTAAAGTTTTTGACGACGACAGGACTTAAGGAAGTGATAATGACGATGCCTCAGGACACAGCACACCACACCAAGGTGATCGCCTTCATGTACCTGGTTATAATGGATCCTGATTTTCTTCTTGACGATAGATGATTCGTATGGGCAAAGCGACACGAAATCCGAGGTGAGAAGAACCAAGTGGTAACCTTGATGAAGGGAGACGTTCTGGAGAAGATATTCATTTCTGGAATAGGATATAGGAGAATTGCAAAGTTTATTGAACAATCTGTTTTGTGTTGCAAGTGCAGCAGGTGGGGCCATTTGGTCTGGAAACGTCGAAGTGAATGTCGGTGTCGTTACTGTGTGAAAAATCATTATTCAATAGAATGTGGAAATAAAATAAAGTCTGGGCAACATGTTATGCCGTGCTGTTGCAATTGTGGCGGCGCGCATAATGCAGGTTCCTCAATTTGCAATAAGAAGCCACAGATGCGTGGTGCACGGTGGCAGAGCATGGGGGAAGAGCAGCAGCGAGAAAAGGAGGAAGGACGGGGAGTTGCGTGTGGAAGAAGAGGATGGAACAGAGTGACACGTTAAAGGTAACAGGAAATGGTGCAGGAGCTGCAGCAAAAGTTGTTCCAGAAGAGAAGATAATTGACAAGTTTTGTGATGTGTATGGTGTAGTAGTTCAACTGAGGCAAGAAATTCAGATGCTTAGAAAAAAGGTAAAGGCCAACCAGAAGGTAATTGCCCATTTTTGTGAACATAGAAATCTGGATGTTGAACTAAAAGGAATGAAGGTTGAAAATAATACAATAATATAAGCTGACAAACCATCTTTGCTTTGGGGGACCGGAAATGTGGACATAAGGGAAGAGATAACCCGCAAGTGGGGTGACAAACCCGAATTATTACAAGATAAGGTATTAGCTCGAGTGAAAGAAGTAATGGAACTGTTTGTGGATGAGAGAATAGCTTACGTCCTGGAACTGCAGATGTGCATGCTTATGCACTGTTGTATAAGATGGATGTTATAACCTTACAAGAGACAGGCACGAAGGATGGTAATTTGATGAATTTACATGATTATCAAAGTTTCTGTTTACCAGCTAATAATAAAAATAATACAAGAGGTCTGTTAATTTATGTTCGGAAAAATGTACTGGTTAAATTGGTAATAGCTGACAAGCAGAATGGGGTTGAAAGTTTGTGTGATAAAATCTATGTCCAAGGGAGGTCTATATGTATTGTTAACATCTATGTACAGTCTCGTTCAAGATTCTTCGAACACCGCTGGAGACAGTTGGCAACTCAAGTCCGTTTGTTTACTTTAGTACGTAGTAAAAAACATGAATGAATGTAAAAGGTTATCGGTGATTGGTTACTTAATTCCCTGTTGCTTAATTAATGGTTGGGCTTTCTTGTTTCGTATTATATTATACTACGTACTATAGTATAGTAAACAAACGGCCTTGAGTTACCAGCCGTCTCCAACAGTGTTCGAAGAATCTTGAATGAGACTGTACAACCTCAAAATTTGAATATTGATGACATGTCTGAGTGCCTATTTAATGATGCTAGTGTTATGGTTGGTGATATTAATGCTAGACAGGAAGTCCTGGGTACTATGGAACCCAACAGCATTAATGGAAGGAGATGGTTACACTTCTAGGAGGAGTTTGATATTGACATATTGGGGAATCATGAGCCTACCCACATACATGGAGGAAGTCAGATTATGCAGTATGTTTTAATACATGTGGAATAAGAGCGAATGCTGATATAGTTAGGGATTTGCATAGTGATCGTTTTGCATTACGAATTACTGTGCATGTTAACAAAATACAGAAGGTAATTAAGCGGAAAAGATATTGGTTACAGGAAGACAAAAAACAGGAGCTGATCACTATTATACAGGATTGATATACAGATTATGAACCAAAGGATGTTGATGGTTTCTATGATAATTTATTACATATTATTGTTTCTGTTTTGACGACAAGTAAGTGTAGTTATAAAGGAGACATATTTCATGGGAAACGCAATATGTATGTTCAGGACAAATTGGTTCAGGCTGGAATAAACTCCTCAGAAAGGAGCAAAGAGAATGGAGTGAAAATCCAATGGTTATGAAATCAAGAAAGTACTGAAAGAAACTGCAAAAAATGTGTAGTGAAATCAAGCAAGAGGCACAGAATAAATACTGGACAGACTTTTTAGGGAGAATCGCTAAAGGTAAGAGCTTGGGTGACATATGGAAGGAAGTGAATAAATTGCGAGGTGTTCGAAGCAAGGGCAACAGTTACGCTGACCCAACTGGGCAGGGCCAGTCAACTTAGTAGGAAATGGGCTGCGACTGCTAGTTTTGCCGAATTACCTCAGAGTGTGTCGGCCTCATTACAAAGTAAGAGTAGACTTGGGCGTGAGTTAGTACAAAGTTAGTGTATACTGGAGGGTAATACATGTGTTCTTATAACGAGAGGCGAGTTATTACATGCGATTGAAAAGGGAAAGTCTACAGTACCCGGTAATGATGGAATAACATATGATATCCTTAACTGTCTCGCTGGTATTAGAGAAGGGCCTTTGTTAAACTTGTTGAATATGTCTTATATTGGAGGTTGTATCTCTCTTAAGTGGAAAAAAGCAGTAATTGTACCAATACCAAAGAACAATGAAGATTTTCGTCCAATATCTTTGACTTTTTGTTTTAATAAAATGATGGAAAGAATAGTATTAAACAGGTTGTTGAATAAAGTGGAAAATCTCTCGGCGCCCAATTTACATGGATTTATGGAAGGGAGAAGTACTGCAGATTGTGTTGTAAGGTGTTTAAATAACTCCAAGGCTACATGCAGGACTTTTGTGGACTTAAAAGGGCCTTTGGTAGGGCAAATAAAGAAGTCATACTTGAGTAACTAATTGATTTAAGGGTTTCTGGGAAGTTGCTGAAATGGATTGTGGTTTACTTGAATAACAGAATGGCTGGATTATAGTTTCAGGGTTGGTACTCAGAAGAAAGATAGATGGAGTTGGGGGACTCCACAGGGAGGTGTACTTAGCCCCACTCTTTTTAACATATTGATGAACTTAATGGATCGCAACGAATATCCTGAAGACACACAGATTACAATATATGCTAATAATATACTTTTACAGTGAAAAAGTATGAGAAACCTGCAAGAGGCTTTAGATGCATTGAGTACACTTTGTTGTAGAATGGGCCTTGTAATTAACAATGCAAAGCTAAATATTAGGTTAGAAATTATGAACAAGGGGATATATTTTTGAATAGATTAAGGCTAGAAAAGGTTGATGTTTACAAATACTTTGGGATGTACATTGGGTATAAGTCCAACAGTAAAGTACGTGAGATGCAATACCTGGAGAATGCATGTAAATGATGTTTAAGTCCTTTAAGAGCTTTGGTATGGAAGGGAATTGGCGCAGGTAGTCCTATTTTATGGATGGTTTATATCAGTAATATACGTTCAGTTATTGACTATGCAGTTCCCATCCTTATAATTCATAGTAAGAAAGTTATACAAAAGCTTGAAGTGACACAAAACGAGGCCATGAGAATCGTTTTAGGTTGTCAACGGAACACTAGAATTTAAATAATGAGAATGGAGTTAGATTTACCAAGTATAGAACATAGAGTAAAGGAACTTGCTGTAGCCGCTACTCTTAGGACCATTAGGAGAGGAGATAATAGGTTGTCCCGTACAATAATGTGCTTAAATGAAAGAATAGTTCTTGTCAATGTGTCCGAGTAGGCAAGGCTATTGTATAATATTATGATGGAGTATAGAGTAGATAAATATTGCATTTCATTACAAACTTATTTAAGGTTTAGAAGATGGCAGGAAGGATGCATTGCAGTAAATAGTTTACAGCTTGGGGGGGGATGATTGACATTCCAGTTATTTACGAAATGTCTTTTTAGAGAACATAAATAGTTTTACCAGGCGAAACACTGTACATACATATTGTGATGGATCAGTATTAAGTAACGGTCAAGCGGGATGTGGTGCTCTTATAAGGGAATATTTTATCAATGAGTGTTATGCAGATGAAACAGTTTGTAAAAGAATTAGTAACAACACCTCATCCACGCTGGCTGAACTGCACGCAATATGTGAAGGACTCCAAGTTGCTGTACAGAAATGTAAAGAACCATATATTTTTGTTGATAGTAAAAATGCATTGGAAACTTTTCAGAGTACAAATCCATGTAACTTTCATATTGTTAATATCTATAAACAACTGGTCATAGTAATGCAAGAAATGGAATGTACTGTGCAGTTTGTATGGATTCCATCACATGTGGGGATCCATTTAAAATGAAACTGCTGACAAATTGGCCCCAAAAAATTCAGAAAAGATGCATATGTTAGCAATGTAAGTATTAGAGCGATAAAGAGGGAAATGAAAGAAAAAGAGAGGAATGAGAAGAAGCAAGAAGAGAAGTGATTGCTGTATGTAGCGAGAGTTTTCAGCACTATTTATATGTTTTACAAAACACCAAAGTAACTTATGGGACAAACTTACCATCTGTTGATACTTTTATAATGAGACTAAGATTGGGATACAAATATTACTGGCAGATAAGTGGAGGGGCGGGTCAACTGTGTCATCTTAGAGATGCACATACACTACAACATTATGTATTAAGATGTGAAAAAATCCAACCATACAGGAACAGTGAGATCACTACTTTAAAGAGACAAGTTTGTTGGATGATTAATGATGGAAAAATTAAAGTAATTCTTGCAATGTATAAAAATTTTGCTCCAAGTATAAGACATTTAATTTTGTGTAGGATTACATTATCTGTTCTTTTAATGTAGTACAGTGTTCATGTTAAAATGAACTATTTCATTGATGTAAAAATAATTATTGTATTAACATTTATAACTTTTTGTAAACCCCAAAAGGGTTTGGCAAAGGTGAGGGTGGGAGTAGTATACTATCCTGTCCTTTTGATGTAATAGTTTTATTGTCAATATTGTTTTTCAATTTAAATTTAAATTCAACTCCTCCAGATACACAGTATTCTTTCAAATATGTATAATATAGTTCCTTTACATTGTTGTTATTAAATATTTGTCCTGAATGCGGTAGATTCACTAACCAAATGTCAATGTTTCCTGTTGTTGGTTCTCATCTCCGAGAGTTGTGAACCACGGGAATATGAACCCGCGTCTGAAGCATTCACTCGTGATGTGGAGTGGAGCGACTAGGGGCCGGTGTGAGACTAGGGTGACGAGATAGTGGGTGGGGGGCGAGGGTGTGGAGGGAAAGCGTGGAAGGTAGCAACAGAGATGGAAGAGGACGAGGTAAAACGTCTTCAGCTACAACTCAGTATTTATGAATACGTAATGCAGAGGGTAATGTGGTATCGGAAATTAGTAAGTCTGCGCCTGTTACTGATGTAGTTAATTACATTTTCATATGTTACTAAACGAATGTTGTGAGACAATAAATATTCCAAAATAATACTACACTCCCTCTCCTGCCACCTCCGATTGGATATTGCCAGAGACGAGGAGACATTAAATTTTACTTTAAATTAAGACGCTATTGTTGATGCTGGGAGATATTCCACTGGGTATTTCTATGCTCACCTCCATTCGACCTAATAAAGATAACTGTAATCTTATCAGCTTATATCACATTCGCCCTGAGAGAAAACGGCCTCAGTATAAAGGCCATCGCTCACCAGCCAGGTGTCTTGCCTTGAACCGTTTCCAAGTGGATACAGAGACGGGAGGAGACGGGAAACTTGACGGACCTGGTTATGTATGAATGCAGAAATGTTCTATGCATTATTTTTACGTACTCCTAATGTTGATTGATTTTTTGTAATTATAATATGAAATTTGTGCCAGTACAAACGGTTTACCCTTCCCTTCAGCCAGGACACCCCTTTCCAGAGTCGCTACTCCCGAAGAAGACGAGCGCATTCGGCAGACAGAGGAAGAAAATACCCTTCGCGAATACTGTTGCTATCAGAGACAAACTGTAGCTCAACGTGTCCAATGAAACATAAGAATATAAAAACATAAGAATGGAGGAAACTGCAGCGGGCCAATTGGCCCATACTGGGCAGTCCCATTTACACCCAACCCCTATTGCTCACATAAGCATCCAACCTATGTTTGAAGCTATCCAGCGTATTCGAGTTAATGATGATATTTGGTAACTTGTTCCATTCATCCACTACTCTGTTTCCAAACTAGTGTTTACCTATTTCGCGCCAAAATCTAAATTTGGCTAATTTAAAACCATTGTTACGAGTTCGCTCCTGGTTGGATAGTTTGAGTACCTTTGTAATGTCCCCTTTGTTTAGCCCTGACTTCCATTTATATACCTCTATCATGTCGCCCCTCGCTCTGCATCTCTCGAGGGAGTGCAAATTAAGATGCTTTAACCTGTCTCTGTACTCAAGGTTCCTAATGCCCGGGATTAGTCTTGTCATTCTCCTCTAGATTCTTTCCAAGGATTCTATATCCATCCAAGTACTTTATTAGCCTTGTTACGAGCAAAAACACATTGTTTACTTGGCTTAAGATTCCTACTTATCATTACTCCTAAATCTCTCTTGCAGTCGGATTTCACAATGGCATCGTTGTTCATCTGGTATCTGGTTTCCCTGTTTACATCTCCTATACTGAGTACTTTACATTTGTCCACACTGAATTTCATCTGCCATTTTTCAGACCATACGAAAAATTTGTTAGATCTTCATGTAGTTTTGCGGAGTCCTCGTCGGATTTAATTACACGTCCTATTTTAGTGTCATTAGCAAATTTACTTATGTTGCTGTCTATGCCGATATCTATGTCGTTTATGTATATAATAAATAATAATGGTCCAAGTACTGAGCCTTGGGGAACTCCACTAGTGACGTTGCAGAGACGGCTACAAGAGGCGGGAATTCACCATAGGTAGGGCAGGGTAATGAATAATCGGTTAACTATTTAGATATTTGCGCAATGTAAATAGCCATTCAATTAAATTTCAATATTTATTCCTTGATGGAGGAAGCGAGATCTTAGTACTGTCACTAGGTACCCCTGTACAATAACACCAGAAGCATCTGGCAAATGAAACAAGTATATATAAATATTATAAAGGTGCTTTCTAAAGCCGAAGGAAGGAAGGATATTCCTTCAACACATCATCAATATTATTTACATAACATCTGGGCAGTATGGGGAGGATCATCGTGTCTTCGTCAGGGTATCGTGGAGTGGTGGTCCAGCAGGCGTCACGGAAGCGTTGTGTTTATGGACATCTTAGGAGGAAATATCCATATTATAATTTTTACATTAGTCAGAAAAAAGTCTCCGTGAAGCATGAATATTGAATAACTTAAGCACATCTGTGATCGCGAAACTGCTGAATGGCTGTTCATTACGCTTGTATGGGAGTCAAATCATAAGGCAAACACAGACAAGAGATGTCTTGAATATTATAATTACTACAAAGGAATAAATACATAAGCTATTACAAATGTGCACCGCAAAACCTATTCTCATTTACAACCAGATCTTCACTAGTTTGTTACTCTCCAATTGTTCAATTTCAATTTCAATTGTTTATTCCTTGATAGAGGAAGCGGGATCCTAGTGCTGTCACTAGGTACCCCTGTACAATAACACCAGAAGCATCTGGCAAGTGTGACAAGTATATACAGTATAAATATTATAAAGGGGCTTACTAAAGCTTAAGGAGGGAAGGATATTCCTTTAACACATAATCAATGTTATTTACATAATATCTGGCCAGTATGGGGAGGATCATCGTGTCTCCGTCAGGGGGTCGTGGAGTGGTGGTCCAGCAGGCGTTACGAAAGCGTTGTGTGTGGGAACATCTTAGGAGGTAGTGGATAAGGGTGCGGCTGTCGGGTCTTCTGCATAATGCACAAGAGCGTTGATCAGGGGATGCGGGGATACCAATCTCCCAAGCAAAGTCATACCCAATGATGATACGGGCAGCAATCACGTCCTCTTTCCTCGACCCTTTCCCATAGACATACGAGAGGTCAGGAAGTTTATGAAGGACATCGTGCCAGGTAGGCGGGGAGTCCAGGGGGATGGCTGCTTCCCGAGCTTCTCTGTTTGCGGCGAATTTGGGTCCTAAGCTGTAAAGGTGTTCGAGGAACAACGTAGTCAGGTGTAGCCTTGTTGCAGCCAGTCTTGGCACGGCCATCTGCTGCCTCATTCCCCAAGATACCGACATGACTGGGTATCCATATGAATGTCACAGGACGGCCTGCATCCTGAAGTGTGGATGTTAACCCTCGTATTCGGAGGATGAGGTCCTTATTTTCCCCTGATCCAAATGCGATCCCGTCGAGAGCAGACCTGGAATCGCAGCAGACAAGCAAGGGGCAGAAACCATCTGCTTCTTCCTCAGCGAGAAGGGCAGCAAGGAGGGCTATTAGTTCAGCCTGAGTGGAGGATGCCCCGTCAGAAACTCAAGAGACAGTTTGATAGGCTCAGGGGCATCAGGACGGGAGATGTAGACACCAGCCCAGGTCCGACCTGTAGCTGGGTCAACAGAACTATCAGTGTAGAGGACGACCCTACCTGGGGACCAGTGGGCGATCCTGCAGAGGTGGTATTTGCAGAGAATAACAGGGTTCACGTAGGAGTCGGGAGTGGTCCACCGAGGGCAATCACTTCAGGTTGAAAATCCAGCCAGGGAGAAGGAGACGAACCAACAGCAGGGGTGACAACGATATCAGGCAGGAGGTCGTGTTCCTGAAGGGCTCGGATGAGTGACCCTCTCCACTGTCTTCTAGATGGAGGTCGGCCTCGGAAAGCAGGAGTCAAGTTGGCTTGGACATAGTTGCCCAGATGATCCCATAGAATGGAAACGGTAGTTTTTAGATAAAACTCCTGGACACGATCCTGTAAGAGGGAAAGGCCAAGTTCGGTATATAGAGAAGTAGAGCGTGTCCACTGAGGAGCCCCAAGGATGATACGAGCAGCTTTCCTCTGGATAACTTCGAGACTGTTGACAGCAGTCCGACTAATGTTGACGAAAGCAGGGGCGGCGTAGTAGACACAGGAACGGACAAAGGACTTGTACATGGTTAGAAGTACAGGGATGGTGGCACCAAGAGAACCCCTGCACATGGTAGAGAGGGGAGCGAGACGCCAAAAGCATATGTCTCGAAGATAGCGGACTTCAGGGACCTGACAACGTGTGCGAGTTACATACACACCCAGGTATTTTGTCTCATTAACCCAGTCAAAGGGCGTTCCTGATAAGAGAAGGGGTGGAGGTACAACACGACCGTGCCACATGGCTTTTGTTTTCGCAGTTGAAAGAAGGAAACCAAGTGAATCACACTCTCTGTAGACCAGATCAAGGGCTTTCTGCATGCTGAGGTAGTCAGGGGCTTGGAGGAGGACATCGTCGGCATATCCTGAGTGGACAACTTCTGTCAGCCACGGGAGAGATGCAATGGAGTGCATGAGAGTGTTAAACAAGGTGGGACTCATGACTCCACCTTGAGGGGTGCCGAGGTTCATTTCTTGTACAGGAGATATAGAGCCTGCAACGCGAACCCGGGCCTGACGTCCAGTGAGGTAAGAGGCGATCCATTGAAGAAGTCTCCCTTTAACCCCTAACCGCGCAAGTTCAGCTAAAATGAGGGCAGGCTGAGCCGTATCAAAGGCTCCCTTGAAGACGGAGACGCGGGCAGTCTGAATGCAATAAAAGGAAGCAATGGAGTGCGCTGTGCTGCGATGTTGTATGAAACCATTGAGGGAGTTGTGGAAGTCGCCTATGGTGTGAAGAAGGCGACGATGGTGTATCCTCTCCATCATCTTGCAAACACAGGAGGTAAGACTAATGGGTCGATATTTCCCAGGATCTCCCGCCTTAGGGATGGGGATAATAGTGGCATTTTTCCAGTTAGACGGGAGAACCCCATTTTCATACGACATATTGTAGAGAGCAAGCAAGGGGCCGTTAGGAATATTAGTACAGGCGTTGAGGACGGAGTAGGTTATCTGATCATCCCCAGGAGAGGTGTCTTTTCTAGAGCGACGAGCACTGTCAAGCTCGAACTGAGTGATGGGATGATCAGTGAGGGCAGGGGAGGTAAGAGCAGCACGAACAACAGGCTCAGATGCATCGATGCGAGCCTGCACTGCCTCCTGCATTGGATCTGGAAGTGCCTTAGGGGAGGAAGCTCGTGCCCAGTCTTCCA